TTCACAATACAGTTCATTTGTATATTAAGTCATATAGAGAATCATAAAATGTCTCTGAGAGAGGGGTAGATAGACTAGAAGGTGATAAAGTATTTGAGAGTTTAGTACTTTCTATGAAAATATGCCCATTATCATTTATGTGGTGGTATGTGGCCAGAGAGAATATGTTCTGGCTTTGCTCTCCATGTCTTCTTTTCTGGTTATCATCTGTCTCAGGAACTGTCTTCACTGAGAACCTTGGGCAAATGTCACTATTTCATAGAATATCAGGGTTGGTAGGGACCTCAGGAGGTCATCTAGTCCAACCCCCTGCTCAAAGTAGGACCAATCCCCAGACAGATTTTTGCCCCAGATCCCTAAATGGCCCCCTTAAGGATTGAACTCACAACCCTGGATTTAGCAGGCCAATGCTCAAACCACTGAGCTATCCCTCCCCTGCTCCGTTATCCCATTAACTCTGATGGAGTTTCACTGAGCACAATTTGGCCCCTTTGTGTAACAGATGGTGGTCTGTATATAAAGCAGGAATTCTCAGAGTGGAACTTGACTCATAAACCCAACTGTATTCCTCCCTCAGTATTTGTTTAGGGAACGTTTTCATAACTTCCACTGTCTGGCCCTGAGATTTAACTGGTCTCCCTTTTACTTCAAAAGCTGACTTCCTCCATGTGATGCAGTATCTTCGTAAAGGATGCAACCCATCTCTTAATTTATCAGTCTCCTTGATTTTGCGTTTCGGTTGTAAACAACTGGAAAGAATTGCAAAAAAGTTTTTAAACAAAATAATTAAAATTGCATATTCTAGTATGTTGCCAAGAGACTCACAGGAGTTAAATATTCTATTGTCCTGCGATTCCTCTCCCATTAGAGTTAATTACTTCAGATAATTGTGCGTACTCTGGGACTATCTGTTATAGTTGATTTTCCACTGTTGATCCTGCTTGTCTGATAGCAAGTTTTACAAACTCAGGCTCTCATCCCTGGTATGAAATTCTGAGGCCACAAATATTGCTGGGTGATGGGGAGAGGAAACTGACATTAAAAATCAGGTTCTAATTGTGGATGCACATGCCTTGAAAGATCGATCACTGCGCCTCGCACGCAGGCATAGTGGAGGAGTTTTGGAGGTAGGCGGCGATATATAACCATGTATTTGAGATTAGAATCTTCCTACAGAGGGGTTAGTTGTTATTGCTAGTGTATGAAGTCATACCTGATAATTAAATAGGGGATGGCTTTCACCTGAGATCCTATCCCTCTTATCATGGCCTGGGTTTTTTTTGTTTTTATTTTTAAAGCATATGCAAGATATAGCTAAACAGATTCTATGCGAGACAGCAAGAGACTATCGCAAGTGCTGTATCTCACTGAGAATCAGTTTTAAAATATTTCAGATTCTGAAGATTCTTTAACTCTAAAATATGATGTATTTTCAGTTAAGATTGCAAAGATGTCAGCAAATAAGGAGGATGTGTATGTGCCTGGGTCTCAGTGAATGTCATGCTTGCAAAAAGAGCTGGATTGACAGCCCCGGAGACAGAAGTCCTCTATTGACAGGACAGAAGCATCATGGTCAGTGGCAGTGTTCAAGTTCCTTTCCCCAATCTGTCCTGCCAATGTACTTCAAATCTGATCTGGATGTACCACCTCAAAGAGAGAAGATTTCCTCTTCTAGGAGTACTTTGTTTTCTATCTTCATTTATTCATTGGCCTTTTTGTTGAAATTGCCAACAGTGGGACAAGTTAAGGGTCAGTTGCAGCGTTGGTTTTAGTTACGTGAATACTTGTTAACTAGGGTTTTGGACTGAGACCACCAGCAACCGTCAGACAGTAAGAGATTTGGGTTATTACTAGACCCAGGATGAATTTGTGCCAGCGATATATCATAGAGATGAAACGCTCTATATCCCATTACTTGTATCCTGAGTCCTTTCAACTTCTCTGGAGAAAAGGTTTTCAAGACCTACATTTCAATAAACAGCTGGACAGGTGTAAAGGGATTTAGGATTGAAAGATGTTTAGGAGCACTTCTGGCAGAAGTGTACAAAGCTAGTGTATATAAAGAGAGTTATTTACAGAAGAAACTGGATGTGTTCGTGTCTTATCTCAGGTGAACAGCAACCCATTGCATTTGAACATACTCTTGTGAATTTCCTCCGGAAGGATTCAAATGCTCTGATTCAAAATAAACACTATTCCCCCACTGATGTGTACAGTTTCAAAACTGCTGATTGCGAATGTCAGTTCAATTATATTTGCGGTTTATAT